CATTCTGTCAATTGTGTCAAGATCTTGCTGAAAACCCAGCAAAGAAGAATGCAACATCACCAAACAGACCCAAATCTTTGAATACACTACAAGTCTACAACAAAGCATCATCACTAGAACAGCATTGTAAACACAATTTCCAAACATTAGTATGACTCCCTAAGCAGAATGCAGCACCTTAATTAAAGTAAAACAAACTCAAGACTCCATGAATCTCCCACTGAACCTAGTTAATTAAAACATTAATCAAAATAATTATGTAAATTGAAGAAGAACGAACCACGTGCTTGTTGGCATCGAATCTCTCGCGCAGGTCTGATGCCTGAAAATGAAACATCAGGAATCAATCGTTTTGAGTCGAAAAGCTAATGAAATGCTGAAATAGGGAGAAAGAAGCGGCAAAAGAGTACATCTTGATAGAAGAGGTGGCGGTGGACGGCCCAGTTGAGGGTGTCTTTGAGGGCACGGCGGTAGAGGATCCGAACCCTTTCCTTCTGCGCTGCTCGTCGGGCCAAGTACGCTGCCGTCGACGCTCCGCTCATTCTTCTCGCCGCCCCTTGCCCTCTAACTTTCCCTTTCGGGAATTCAGAAAGGGAGACGGAGAGATGCAGACAAATCACTGCCATTTACCCTTGAAACGGCGGCGTTGAAAGCTTTTTAGTTTTCAAACAGATGGTTTTGTTAAAAAAACAAAAAAAGAAAATATTTTTAAAGACAGAATTGAAGTGTAGGCTGATTTATAAATTTATTAAAATAATTTTAATACATAAATTGCACTTTGATTGTGCAATTTAATTTAAAAACATGAATTTGTTTATTTTGTACATTATTGGGATTTCATTTATTAAATAGAAATGGAGTGAGTAATTAAATTTTAACATTTTTTCTTTATCTTTTCAGGTATATCAATCGATAAAATTCAAGATTTTTAATTGAGATTTCATATTCAAACATGAAAAAAGGAATGACAAGGGGTTTGGTTAAAAGATGCCCTATTATTAGATTGAAGTAATCCGTTTTAATTTGCAATTGTTTTTTTTTTTTTTTTGTCTTCAAGTTTATAAGCTCCTGTCATATAAATTTAAACCACTAACTTTAACCTCAAATCTAAAAGTTTTATGGTTTGTAAATACGAAACTCATCTAAACTCTCACGATTTTGGATGGTTGCTAAGACATAGCATTTGGGGTAGAATGGATTCTGATCACAAATGGATTTCATAACACAAAATCGGAAAAGCCCTATTTCCATACCCATACCATGGAATCTAGAGTCATCTACATAACAGGTATCAAAGGAGCAATACCAAACCTTTACACCCAAAACCAGAAAGGCAAAGGAATTATACCAAAGCCTGATTTTGCTTCTGCCCTGATCAGGTGAAGTTTCAGAATTTATACCACACTATCATCATCACAATCTGTTACAGTTTCAATCACAGAAAGGAATGCTGTAGCCTACCCAATTAAAGAAATTACCTATGGTTGCTTTATACGTGTATTTGGGCATTACCAATGTCACAAAAGAGAAGCCATGCTGTTTTTCCAACCAAAGGATCTTCGCCTTGGTCGTGCGGGAGTAAAGCTCAAGCCAAACATTTCCTTGATGGCTTGTCCCTGCTCTACAAACCTAATCAGCTTTGCAACAATGGTAGCACTCTCCTTGATGCGTTCCATATTATTTGTATCTGTCCACAACTGATTGACTAATTGCAACCTTCGTTGCTTCGAGTTCAATCCAATATCCCACTTCTGGTACAGTTGCAATCTCTCTTCCTCTGAAAATCTTCTGCGCATCAGCTTGCTCAATGTCTCTCTTTCACGGCGAAGAGCTCGCATGCTAAATCCCCAGATAAATATATCAGAAGTTCAGGAGAGGTTGAAGCATAAAGAGAATTATGGGGAAAGATGAACATACATACAGATAATAATGTCTTGTAATGAGAGAATGTGAATATAAAACAATATCCGTTTTGAATGCAACAATACTCTAGTGTACAAACTGTCCTAAGTTTTAAAATGCTTTAGGCAAATCCTCCTAATGCTCCAATCCATTTCCCACATTTTAATTATGCTGAGTATTAACAGCCAAAATCAACAAGAGGATACTCAATATATCAATGCTCCATCATCCAAAATATTAAATGCTGAAATCAACTTCTCAGATAATAAGTCCTGATATGCTTAGTATATAGACTTCAATGAATGTAATTAAAATATAATTGGTAAGGCACCGAATTGAAATGACCCTTGAACAGGCACTGATGCAGATGCACAGTAATCGTTTAAGTTGAGACTTTGAGAGATAGAAGGAGAACCTTGAAGCAAGTGTGAGAGTCTGACCATCGTGTACAGCCTTATTACCCTGAGAAAATGTTTCCTTGAGGAAGGAAAGTCTCCTGTGCTCTACCCCCAGATAAATAGAATCTGTGGGATCACCTTTAAAGAGCAGGAAGAAATATGTTCTATGAACAAGTGAAACATGGCAAGCTTGCCAAAGTTCAGTTATAGCTCTCTGCTGCCTCTCGAATTCCAGAGGCCAATCTGAAAGAGTTCCTGGTGCTTCATGCATTGGGTTGAATCCTACATCTTTCATGCTGTTGCCTAAATTCTCCGTATCTAGCCCTGTGCCCTGAATCCAATCCACAAAAGAAATCAAAATTCATCTGCACAGGCCTTTTGCATTCCATGAAGTCCCTTAAAATGACACAGAAGGAAAAGAAAATATGAGGATACTAACCTGAACATCAACAAGTTGCTTTTTCAGTCCTGCAACAAAAGTTTGAATACTAGTAATATCTTCATCTGTGGAACTTTTAATTCTATTTGCGTTTACGTCATCTACTGAAGCACTTCCAAGAGAAGACTGAGAGTTATTCCTTGTCAACACTCCATCATTTGCACCATAATTTAATAAAGGGAATTTCCCTCCATAACCTTCAGGTCTTCCAGGAAAGTTTTTCTCCAATGCAGGTGGGGTGCTAGCATTGTCACTAGCCATGACATCTGCTCTACAGCTCCAGCTCCTAGTTAACTTCAGGCTTCTAGAACTTGACGACTCTGCTGCAGCCAGAGATGACTCATTTGGTGAAGGCCTAACAAGAGAATCAACAGTCCTCTGTACATCATGGAGTCCTTGCTCTAATGCATCGTATGTAAAACCACTTTGAACATGATTCACTTCTCTATCTCCATTTAGTGGCATTGAGAGTATTTCCTGACCAGCAATATTTCCATCGTCGGGTGCCAATGTTGGCATTCCTTCATTTTCACCATCTGGTAAGGTATGAAATTCAGAGTTATTATCCCTACTTGAGTTTTCTATTTCAATACACTGAACTTCCTTGCACTGCTCATCAGGATCATCTGCACACAAACACAAAATCAGGATCATCTGCAATTCAATCTGGAGTCTCCTCTAGACTCTCATGCCAAACTTTATTCCCAATTGACAAAGGTGAGGGACTACCATCAGATACAAAATGGTCTTCAGTGTTCTTTTGATTCTCATCACTCTCTGTGTCATTACTATGGCTTCTATTTAACTTTTTAAAACCAACATCTTGTTGATGAGATTCAGCCTCAGAAGCTGAATATTCATCTTCCCATGCATCTCCAACTTGCTGATCAGGATGAAGACTTGCCCTAGCCTGAAGAAATAAGGGAAAGAAAGAGTTGGGCACTTGACAGCTTATATGGCACTATCAAAAACAGATTAAGTAATTAACAGTTAGCAATAACTTTGGTTTTTTTTTTGAGTTAACAATGCCAAATTGCAATGCCAAGGAACACTCTTTTATGTACATTAGACACTATATATATGCTCTCTTTGACACTTTCAATCCTAAATGGCCAGTAACAGCATAGCATAAAATGATAATCCATTTATCAGGCAATAACATAATACCGACTGCTCAGAATATTGATCCTGTCCAACAATCCTTAGTAAATCCTCAACCCGAGCATGAGCAAGATCGCGCTGCTGAGTCAATTCTCGAATTTCCTTTTCCATCTGCACAGTGTAAAATGTGTAACTACTACAAGCAAATATGCATAACATGAACAATAAGTAATATATAAATGCAAAACTTTTATTTTTATGGTCCTAAAATCGGCCTACTCAATGTAAGACAGGCATAACTAAGCATCAAGTCTTCCATCTTAAAATGAAGACAATACAGTTTTTGTAAATTTAAAATGTAAATAATTTATTTGGAAGTGTGACAAAAGACTTCGAACAAAGTCCGGAAACTTTTAGAAATTGCTTGCATGTAGTGTCCTTAATATAGGGGACAAAGTAGAAGGCAAGGTGACAGAGGTCATCGTGAGAGGAGAATAAAACCGTGCCTATTGCTACAATAAATGCATTTAGATCCAAAACCCCACCTGTCCTCTGTGAATGAATCTCTAATGATTAAAGCAGAGGGAGCATTTCTATAGTGTGCTAGTACATATACCACAGAGACATAATTGCATCTCTAACTGTCCTTGCAATCAAGTGAAAAAGAAAATCCTAACCTTTTGAATCTGAAGATCTTTCTTTCTTAGTAGGGCAGCATAATCAGAATTCGAGGAAATGGGAGCAGGACTTCTCAATTCACTTTCCAGTCTGGCTAACTCTCTTTGTAAATGCTTAACTAAGGCTTTATCAGACATGACAACATTGACCTGTGCTTTTGTAGTAACTTCTTTTGCACAGCAAGCAAACAAAAGAGTGTTTCGAGTTTGCTCAACATGTCCTCGAGCAGGACTCAAAGTACAAATAATGGCAGTTCTAGCATTGCCACCTAAGCAAGGTTGCAGGATGCGAGTCAGCTTAGAATCTCTGTAATTGATGTGTCCTTGTCTCCCTTTGCTGCATCCACCACAGAACCATGATGCAAAAGAAGGAATTAATTCTTTTGATTTCATGTATTACCCATGCGCAGGATATAGAAGCAAATTTAACAAAGGAGTGGAGATAGCGTCTCTCTGACATTAATAACAGCATGACACTGCAAAGCTGAGAACTTCAACTAATGACAAGCAAACTTGTTTAATTTACAAGAAATTTCCAAGTAATCCTTTGGGTGACAAATCCCAGCATTTTGATGAGTGAAGGTAAACACAGTAGGTGGAGTTATTTTAACAACACATTGTTCCACAATTATCAATATTTGGTATAGGAAGAAAATCTCAAGGTAATCATTTCCTAAGAGAATATCAGAAGACTAACAGGTTTAGAGGAACTAATTCTCAAAGAAAACTTCGTAATAATTTAAGTTCAAAATGATGTGAAAAGATGTGAGCTATGGGTCTAGGGATGTGAACATGAACTAAGAAATTCTTGTCACCAGTTAGTTGAAAAGGTGAACAGTGCAAAGAAGGGCAAAAGAAAAAAAGTGTAAAGAACGGAAAATGCACAATCAACCTAACAGCAACAAATTAATCAATCACAGAACTATGTTCACAGAATTGGAATGAATTGCAAATGTAAGTGCAGAATAGGAGAATCCATTCAACCTTAGTTTACGAACAACAGTTGACAGAGTCAATAAACTTCGATTTATGTGGCAACCCTCTTTCAGCCTTGCACCAGAAGATAATGACTGAGAAGCACGTTCGCTTCCAGCCAAATCAACAAAATTCTGCACTCAAAAACCAACTTAGAATGATTGGCCATTTCTTCTTAATGATCAATTACATGGTTCTTCAAATTCTCATATCCAAAGCAACTGATAATATTCAAAAGAAAATACCTATTTATGGAGCCAACACATATATATTATAGCAAATTAAATGATCCATACCACACTAGCAGCAAGGGTTGTCGAATTCTCTTTGCCTAGGAACTCACGAGCAGAACTCTCAATCGTCTACAACAATTAACATTTTAAGCAGGGTAAGGCAAAAATGAAATTTCTAAAGCAATGCTCATTGGCAATTAGATGTTCAAACAAGATACAGTAAGGAATTATACCAATCTAATAATTTGATGAGACCTGGAGCTTTTCTCATTTAGGGAGGTTTCCCCTATCCTTCTTTGGGCTGCAAGATTGAAATGCATGAAAAAAAAGTTCAAGGAGGTGTAATTTCATCAATAACCATGGGAATCTTTAACATTACTCACCTTCACAGATGGAAAGAAGCTCCTGTAAATGGTTCCAGTCCCTCAGGGTTTCCTCAGTGACTTTTTCCACAATAGTTCCTCTCTGATTAAAACAATAATACAATAAGACAGCCGTCTTTTTATAGAAATGGAATCAATATGAATAATGGCATTCACCTCGGGGTCATCACGCAGCCTAAGTGGAGTATTATCTGTACTTAGAAGGTCTCTAATAGCTTCATTGTAGATCTCAATTGCTGAGAATTTCATGGCAAATGCTCTCTCTTCATGCTGCAGTCATGAAATCAGAAATTCAGAATTACATAAAGATGAAGCATGTACAAGAAATTGTCAACCTCAAGATGGGACTAACAGAAATTTTACACTTTTCTTACTTTATGTATGTAGTCAAATATATCTGCCACGGCATACTCAGTAATTCCAGTCATAGTGTATGTCTTTCCACTGCTTGTTTGTCCATATGCAAAGATACTCGCTGGGAAGGGAAAAAATAAGACAAGAAATGTTAAGATGCTCCACTAGTCATCACCAAAGACCAAGATGCGAGCTCAATACTTACAATTTATACCATTGACAACAGAAAGAGCAATCTCCTTGGCTTCTTCCTCATACACTTGCTTTGTCGAGCTGTCACCCCGAAATACTCTATCTATCCTCCAATGGAACAAACAAGAAAGTAAAGATGAAGCAAATTAGGTGTAAATTTACATAAGAAAATTTCTTCCAAATTCAACCACGTTTGTCATTTGATGCATTTAAACCTGATTTCAAAACTTTAGCCAAAAGAGTGGACTCCATCATAAAAATGGCTCAGTCCAAAGTCAATTTTTAGTTGTTTACAATACCAAATGAACAAAATCACACCCAAAACATGAATATCTAATTGTTGCCAACAACATGAAGACCAATCCTAATACATAATGCAAACATAAAACACTATTAGTGCTGCAAATTTGCTCACCAAATGTATATGCTGAAGGAAATGTTGAACCTTCCCGGAGGGTGTTACGGTATAGGATGGTGTTGTCATTGATGCACTCCCAATCCGCCACTTCATCTGCTGAAATTTCCCTCTCACTCAAAGGCCTCAACCTTACCAAGACAAGAATCCTCTCCTCACGAGCACTTGCCATTTGCAGCTTCTCCAACTTCTTTAGTTCTTCCCCACCAATTGCCCCCATTTTTCACACTCCAGTTTTGTTCTTTTTTACCCCACCCACCAATAAAATCAAAACAAACCCATAATTGACAAATTCTCAAAAAGGAAAAGCATACCCAAATAGTCAAATACTCTGAGTTACTCTTGCTCTCACTAAAATGCAAGACAGATTATCAATTAATGACAAAGTAGTTGCAGTTGTCAAAGATACATATACAAGGACCATCCATTCATAACAGCAGTATCTGCAACAAGAAGCTAATCATCGTTACATATTTACATTCAACAAACTGGAGAAAATGAAACATGAGTAAACTGGAAAATTACTGGTTATATGAGCATCCATCAACAGGAAGATAATCAGGGGTTTTACTCAACCAACCTGAAAAAGATATATGTCATTTTCTTTTCATTTTTAAAATGGAAAAATGAATTTAAAAAAAGAAAAAGAAAAAGAATGAAACAAAGAAAGGAGAAGAGAAGGTTGAACCCGCCAGAAGAAACAACCGTGTCATTTGTTAATCAAAAAGAAAAAATGCAAAGATAAACAAACGTTAGATGGGGTAGTTAACACGAAAAGCTTTCAGCCTAACCTTTAACTCAACGCCTTAATTAAGAAATTCACAGAAAACAAAAACAACCCAAAATTCCACATTCTATTCTTCCTTCAAAAACGATCAATTGCAATGCCAGAGCAGAAAACTTTCCCATGTGCTCACCAACTATGATTCAATTTGAAGCAACAAAAGTCCATCAAATTTCCACAAACAAATACTAATACACACGCATTCATGCTATCACACCTACACACGTCAACTCCACCGGCATTGCAACATTTTACAGTCAGCGAGTTGATCAATTACCTCCGAGGTACAGGTGAAAGAGTTAGTGCAGTCTAGCTCAGCACCGACTTTGTCATTTCACCACCAAAACGGTGTCGTTTAACTCAATCTCTCTCTCTCTCACTGTCCTTCTGCGATCTGAATCTGCTACGCGGTTCTTCCTTGGAACTCGAGCTCTGCAGTCTGAAACAAAAGAGAGCAATCTGAACAGGGAATGGGCATTGCTTCACAGTCGAAATAGAATCAGACATTTAATGCAGAGCAAGAATTTCGCAGACTCAAATCAAACCGTTAGCACTAAGTAACAATTTCTAACGGATAATTCGTAAGACCAAAACAAATTCCATAAATATCTCACTCAGAAATCTATCTGTCAATTTGACTTCATGCAATCGATTTACTCTCGAAATTGAGCGAAAATAACTAAAAAGAAGAAGGAAAAACAGTTTCAGTGAAACAGAAACTTGATGTGAACTCCATCGGAACTAGAAGCTGTTCCTTCTAGGAGCAAAAATGAAGCGAAATCAAAGCTACTGCAGCACTGACATTGCTTTACGCCAGGAATAAAGGCGAAAACGGAGTATATAAAGGAGAATGCATGGTTCAAAGGTCAAAATGGTAAAGAAGGAAACAAACCGGCGTAGAAAGGGAGCTCGATGGAACAGTGTGAACCGACGATGCTTAAGACGCCGCGATCGCGGAACACATAGAGAGGAGGAGGAGGGTGGACTTGTAGCGATGGACGTCGGCGCTCTTCTCTCTCCGATGGGACCGGTGGTCCGGTGGTCCTGCAAATCTGTTGCGGCGTCAATGTCTTTGTAGTGAAGCTTCTTCCTTTTGTGCGCTACCCTGCGCAGGAACGTGTAAGAGTCGGAGCTGTGGATTTACTATTATGTCCCTAATCTTTTTTCCTTTCGCAGAGGGAAAGGACCCGTGAAGGACGGAGATTGGTGTCAGTTTAGCTCCCGCCACGTGGACTTCATGGATTTGTCAGTTTTTCCGTTGCGTTCCTCCTTTGGATCAGTATCACTTGACCGTTAGATCTCAAATCTCAATATTCACAAAATTAAAATACAAAATTTTGCACCCTATCCGTGAATTTATGATTCTTATATTATATAGATTTTTAGTAATGGACCAACCAGGCAATATAAAGCTTAATTTATTCATATGTTAAATTTAAAATATGTGGTTGTTATTATTAAATTATTATCAATGGGAAGTCTATATCGCTATGTGTCAAACATTTCCTTTTACATAAATTAGAAGTAATAGTAGGTTTTCGTTTTTATAACATATGTTTTTATAATATATGTTAAAAGTGTAATAAATATATTTTTTATAATTAATTATATAAAAAATAATAAAAATTAACTTAAATTTAATTTATT